TAGCCACGGGTATCGTAGGCTGGGGGAGGCTGTGCCTTCCCAAACAGCCTCCCGTGGCCCTGCCCCCAGGCCAGCGTGCCTCCTGCAGGGACTTGGGGCCACCGGGGAAGCTGGTGCTGAGCCGTGCTGCCTGCCTGGTGCTCTGAGGCTGGCCACCCGAGCACTGGGACTGGGGGCCACCCGGAGATGGGGGTGTGGCAACCACACTGCCCAGACACCCAGAGCCCCAGGGCTGGGGGCACAGCAGCCAAGCTGCCTGACCACCTGGAGCCCCAGAGCTGTGGGTGCTGTGGCCACGCTGCCCAGGGGCTGTGGGCGCTGAGGCTGCGATGCACTGGGGCTGGGGCCTTGTCCTCTAGCTGGCCGACGCTGGGGCTGGAGCCTATGGTGGGAGTGCTTTGGGCTCCTGCGGGGAAAGGGGGGCAGAAGGGGAGGGGAGGGGTCTCGGGCACAAGGGGAGGAGCCAGAGGTTAGCCTCCAACGTGGCTGCTCATGCTTTTTTCCTCTTACTGGTTTTAGTTGTTTGCAATTGCATCTGATGATTTTCCCTTGAAAATCTTAGTATTGCATAAAGCTAAACAATTGAACCTTGTATTGAATCATTGGCTAAAAAGGGTGGGGTGACAACTCCCTCTGCATGAGTGGACCATCACTGAGATAGATTGTCACCTGGTGATTAAGTTTTACTCCAAGTCCATAAAGCATACTTCAGTATAAATACATTATTCCTTAAATATTACCTGTACATATAGCTTGCAATGATTATGAATCTTGACACATTATGAGCTTTCTGAACATTCCTACATATTACTCTTTATGGATAAATATCCTGTAAGATGTGTTTGGTGTAATGAGTTTGTCAGGTCTGAGGTAAGAGTTGTTTGCAAAGAACAGGAGGACCTTTGCCTAGAAACCTCTGTCACAGAGCTATTGAGACTTCTATGGTGGATGTATTTTTGGTGGTACACTAAGATTTATATATTACTGTTATGTAGTATAACCGTAATGCACCCTGAGATGTTAAACATGGGCCTGATCAAATTCTTTTACTCCCTGTTCATTAGATAAGTTATAAACCTGCTTGATATCTGCATTTGTCAATTGCTTTTCAAATCGAGCATACATCAGACTTGAGTGGTATCTCTCTCCTTCTACAGATGTGCCAATGTGACTTTCCTACATGGGCACTTTTTGTGTTTACTATATAAAAGTGTGTGGGTTTTTTAAATACAGACCAGTCACATTTTTTCTTTATGCTTCCTGAGCACCTATATCTATTTGAAATTTACTTTTTATTCATTTATTTCCAGTGTCACAAAACAATCTGTTGTAGAACTTTGCTGTGTAAATGTATTAAGAGACCCGAGAAAGATGTCATGCATGGCTTGTTTCTGCATCATAATCAGAGCCTTGTCCTGCAGTTGTATGTTAATGAATGTGTTTTTATTTTAATTTCTTTACAGTTTGTGCAGAGAGTGACACATTTTTGCAAACTGGTTGCATGTAGTACAACACGCTTTAGGCTGGACACCTTTAAGTTGTGATTGCCTCCACATTTATTGCATTTACTACTCTTGTCTATGCCATGTGTTTTCCTTTGCTTCTGACTTTATGCCTTCACATGCATTCTTAATTAGATTCACTTCTTTCACTATTTGCTAATACTTCTATTTCAAGCTCAGTTTTCACCAGCTCTTTATATATTCAGTGATTTTTGCAGTCAAATCCATTCCTCACAATGACCTTACTTTGACATTACTATCAATTATACCTCACATATTTTGGTCTCTAATTTGTGGACATGGTCAGGAATTTTCTGGCAAAAAATATTTTCCTTTGGAAAATGCCTGTTCATTGAAGTGAAATTGTTTGTGGGAAAGGACTGGTTGAGATAAATCTCCCCAAATCAATTTTTTAATGTTTTTTTGCAATTATCAAAACATTCCATTGTGACATTTTTTTTTCCAGAATCAAAATCTTAATTTGTAGGTTTGAAACAACTCGTTCTGAATTTTTTGATGATTGATACTAAAATAGTGGGGAAGGAGGGTTTAAATCAGAATTGGAAATGAGCATTTCCAAATTATCAAAGCCAAATGTTTTGATTGACCTGCTCCACTCTCCTCCCCTCCACCAGATTATCATGTCCGCAAAAAGTTTGATATTTCTACTGACTGGGACAGGAGAATTTTTTGATATCTTGAAAATTAGCCCATCTGTTAACTGTTCAAGTTAATTTAACTTTATTATGTAGGTCTGTAACATAATGGGCAATGGCCTCACGTGGCTACTGTTTGCTTGTAAACAAAATGTGCCTTTCCTATTTGACGTTACTGTGAGGATCGTAGAATTTTTTTAAATTTCTGAATGACTTTATTTAGCAGTTTAAGATCTCCAGTGTCTCTGTATCACTATGAGGGATTTCACCCCAATTTCTCATCAATAAAATTTGCATCCAGGAAAATTTCAAAGTGTTGGAACTATCTATTCTGTACTCTCCCGGATTCCCTCCCAGATGAGTGATTCATGAGGTTGTTTTGACTCCGTTCTTGTCAAAAAGATTCAATTTTCTTATAGCACCATGCTATAAAGGTTGATGAATGGGAGTGTTACTAAGAGACTGTTCTTTACTGCATGGCCTTAGTCACCTGATATGTGTCAGGATTACAGAAGCTTAATACCCCTGGTCACATGACCAGGGTCAGTATTCACTGAGTCAAGTGGCTACTTGTAACAAGAAGTCTAGTTTAATTTAGCTGTTGGCAATATTTTATTACAAGCAGTGGAAAATCATGCTCAGTTATTTATTGTTATTTATTGTTAGGGCCCTACAAAATTCACAGCCATGAAAAATGCATCACGGAACGTAAAATCTGGTCTCCCCTCATGAAATCTGGTCTTTTGTGTGCTTTTACCCTATACTATACAGATTTCATGGGAAAGACCAGTGTTTCTCAAATTGTGGGTCCTGACGCAAAAGGGAGTTTCTGGGGGTTTGCAAGATTATTTTAGGGGGGTCGTGGTATTGCCACCCTTACTTCTGTGCTGCCTTCAGAGCTGGGCAGTGGAGAGTGGCAGTTGTTGGCCGGGCGCCCAGCTCTGAAGTCAGCAGCTCACCAGCAGCAGTGCAGAAGGGTAGCAATACCATATCATGTCACCCTTACTTCTGCACTGCTGCTTTCAGGGCTGGGTGGCTGGAGAGTGGCGGCTGCTGACTGAGGGCCCACCTCTGCAGGCAGCAGTGCAGACGTAAGGGTAGCAGCACTTTAACCCCCCCTACAATAACCTTGCAACCCCCCCAACCCACCACACACACACACACACACACACACACACACGCACACAACTCCTTTTTGAGTCAGGACCCCAACAATTACAACATCATGGAATTTCAGATTTAAATAGCTGAAATCATGAAATTTATGTTTTTTAAAACCCTACGACCGTGAAATTGACCAAAATGGACTGTGAATTTGGTAGGGTTCTATTCATTGTACTGGTGGTATCCATTAATTTTTTTCTTTCATTGTAGTTTTATGGAACTCCATCACAATTTAATACTAATTAATATCCACTTACAACAAAGTGTTGACAATAACTTTCTAAAATTGTGAATTTGACATTTAGCAGCATAATTTAGCAGAACTGGAGAAGCTTTCCAAGGTACAGCTGAAAGCAAATTAATGTTTACATAAATATTTATAACTCTCGTCACTTACTGAGTGGCCAAGGAAGTTTTTTTTTTTACTCCTGAAGACTTCCACACTGATGACATGGAATACTTCCTCCACTGTTACCATGCCAGACATTATGCTGTGATTAAAGTATTTCTGTTTAAAATGCCCATTCTTTTAGATTTCGTTGCTGGAACTCCAATTTTCTGTAGTTTGGCCTGTCCTGCTGGTATATCCTTTTTATTACAGAGCCTTTAAAAAAAAACCCAACTGATTAATCAAATATTAGTCATGGCTTTCTAAGCATAGCTACATTGCCGAAAGAAGTATTGGAAGATTGTGGATTTTGACCTGATGGCAGGTAACCAATGCAGCAGACTTTGTAACCATTTTATTTAACAATAAAGCCTTATTCAGCAGGAGATCTCAAAGTGCTTTACAAAGAAGGTCAGTATCATTCTCTCTCTTTTGCAGGTGGGGAAATTGAGGTACAGGGAGGTGAAGTAACTTGCCCAAGGTGACCTAACAGGTAAGTAGCAAAGCTGGGACTAGAATCCATGTGGTCTGAGGCTTATTCCAGTGCCCCACCCACTAGGCCACACTGGCTCTGCTAAGCAAGTCTTGGTTGAGCTGATTTACTGTAAGAACGGTCATCCTTGATGTGTGAGTCAACTGATAATTTAATAAGATATTCTCACTCTGATATAAATGTTTTATGCAATCACAATTGGGGAGATGAACTCTGCAATCAATTCTCTAAAGCAGGGGTCAGCAACCTTTCAGAAGTGGTGTGCCGAGTCTTCATTTATTCACTCTAATTTAAGGTTTCGCGTGCCAGTAATACATTTTAACATTTTTAGAAGGTCTCTTTCTATAAGTCTATAATATATAACTAAACTATTGTTGTATGTAAAGTAAATAAGATTTTTAAAATGTTTCAGAAGCTTCATTTAAAATTAAATTAAAATGCAGAGCCCCCCGGACCAGTGGCCAGGACCTGGGTTGTGTGAGTGCCACTGAAAATAAGCTCGCGTGCCGCCTTCAGCACACGTGCCATAGGTTGCCTACCCCTGCTCTAAAGGATCATTTAAAATGACATCTGCCTGAGTTAGGAAGAGCTGGAGGGTGTCTCCAGTTTGCTTTTCAAGGAATTCTTTTTTTTGGAAAGGTGATTTTATCCTTTTCGCAGGCTGAGTGACTGGCCCCTTCCTAGCACATTCCAGGGAGAGGGGCAGATATTTGTTTTCCCCTTCCCAGCAGTATTTGAAGAGGTTAGAGGAAATAATTGTGCCATTATGACATTCCTTGGTTGTCAGTCAACAAGGGAAGAGCCATATCCACCCTAGACTAAGTGAGTAGGCAACTCCCAGCACTTCTTTGGTGGAATCCCCCAGGTCATTGTTAAGAAAATGTGTATTTGGCAATCCAGCGAGTAGGTGGAGTGTATGTGCATCTTCAAAAAGACCTCTGTGAAATTCCATCTTTTCTATTTTCAGCAGACCAATTTGTGAAGTTCTTCCAGGTGCAAAATTCCCCATGTTTCCAAATCCTGAGAGCTGCTGGATGCCCGAGAAACAGCCACACCAGCCAGAAACTGGCCGATGTTTGTAAGGACTGAGTGAAACCTGAGTATCAGCTTCAGGATTTGGCCCAGTCATTTTTTAGGGTTATGCTGTTCGTTGCAGTGTAAAACACTTTCATCCTGGGAGAAATCAGTTAAAAGGCGGAATTTTCAGCAGATAGCATTTACTTGAATCTTCTCCTTTAGTCAACATCTGCTCCACACTGGTTAGACAATAGAGTGTGACACAGAGGTGTGCTAAATACCTCACCTCCTCCTCTATGCTGCAGAGTTCATTAGCTCTCTTCCATGAAGGGCCTGTTTAGCCAGATTAAAGAGACTGACATCTTATTATGAACTCATGGCCCTTTAACGGTGGGATGTGGGGATATATAACAACATAGGATTTAGAGTAGCAGCCGTGTTAGTCTGTATCCGCAAAAAGAACAGGAGTACTTGTGGCACCTTAGAGACTAACAAATGTATTAGAGCATAAGCTTTCGTGGACTACAGCCCACTATGCTCTAATACATTTGTTAGTCTCTAAGGTGCCACAAGTACTCCTGTTCTTTTTGAACACAGGATTTGTCTGCCAGCTTTACTTCCATGGATTTTTTTTCTTTTATACCTGTAAATCTGTCCCTCCCTCCTCACTCCCTGGAATCTAGTCAAATCATTCATTTTGTAAACTTTTATACAATCCCCAGAGTTCATGATTTACTGCTTTGTAGTTACAGGAAGGCTAAGAGCTGTTTGCAAACATGAAATGAGAATTATTTAAGAGTTACAAAATGCAACACTTATTTTCTTTTCCGTTTTTTACTAATTTTCCTCTCCCAAGTTGTACGTGCAGTTTTTCTTAGGTGTGCTTTTAACAGCAAGATTTCTCCATAATCCATTTTCCTGAAATCAGATTGTAAGTTTTTTGCTGAGGCTTGTAATTCTGATGGTACTAGAAACACATCCCCCAGGTAAGGCTGTATGCCCGGCCAGTGCTTTCTGTGATGCTGCAGAGTTGGCTATTTAGGCATCAAAGGAATGAAAAGAATTTTATCAACAAAATAGTAGATCTTTAAACTATATCTGGGGATATCTAAATGAGTGTGTTCTGGTGAACGTTAGGCACGTATCTCATATGCAGTGTGCTTCACCAATAATACATTTGGCTGCTGTCCTCAATAGGATTCTTTGAACAAAGTAGTGTTTGTTGACTTTACAAGAAGATGCTTGTTTGACAAATATTTCAGTAACTCTGTTGCCTCACATAGGTTATCAGAGCTGTTAAGATATCACTGAATAATCAGGTGGAAGAAGACTGACGGATTTAAGCCCAATTTTTGTGGAAATTAGTGAAGGAAATATACATTATTTGTACATTGAAGGCAGATAAGGCCTGAGGTATTTATTCTTTCCTTTTATGCATATCAACTAAGCTTAAGTGAAGAAACATGTTTATCTAGTTACAGAAGACTAATCCTTCCTTAATCTGTCCTACCTACTCTCTCTCTCTCTTTCTCTCTCTCTTTCGCTTTACCTCTTTTTTTCCTCTTCATTTATTGTATTATTTATGTTTTTGGAGCACAAATATGTTACTATGTGTGCATATAGCTGCACATTCTCTAATTCGCATATACAACCAGGCCTCTGCAAGTTATTTATGGATGCAACTGGCCATTTGTACACAGTTACACAGTTTGCTTACGTATTCATGATAATTCTGGACAAATGATCCATGCAATTGGTCGCACAATTTGCATATGCATTTGCAATCTAAATTTAACAATCAGGCCCATTCTTCTTCTTCTCTCTGTCTCTCTCTCCATACTTTAATTTAAAAAACAAGTGTGTAATCATATCATATGATCAGCGAGAGGTAGTGTGACCAGATCACAAGAGTAAAATATCAGGACACATGGGGGGAGGGGGGGGGCGAGAAAGGGGCGGCACCGCAGTCCTGACCAGAGCCATGGGGAAGGGAGGCGCACAGCCCTAAGAAGCTGTGAGGGGGGCGTACGGCCCCCGCTGCAGCCCCCGTCACAATCCAGAGGGCAGGGATTCATAGCTCCAGTTCCAGCCCCCGGCAGAAGCCATGGGGCAGGGGCGCATGATTCCAGTTTCAACCCCAGCCTTGCTGCTGGCTCAGCCCAGTTGATAGTCACCTCACCTCCCAGCAGGGCCGGTGAGTGCGGCCAGGGGAGGGGGCAGGACATGGGGGAGTGAGTGTCTGGGAAGTCTGGGGTGGGGGGTGGGTTGCTGGGCTATGAAGGGGTGGAGGGCGCTGGGCAGTGGGAGAGGTTTGTGTGCTTCGGGGTGCTAGGCAGTGGGGGGTCTGTTGGGAGAGTGCTGGGCAGTGGGAGAGATCTCTGTGTATCAGGGCACTGGGCAGTAGTGGTCTGTGTGGGGCACCATGTAGTTGTGGTAGTGGGGCTCTGGGGAAGTGCACTGGGTAGTGGAGGAGGGGGAGATCTGTGTGTGTTGGGGAACTAGGGAGTGGGAGGTTGTGTGGGGGGTGTTGGGCATTTGTGGTGGGACTGTGGGCAGGGGTGGTGGTGTGCAGGGCACTGTCCATTTGTTGTGGTGGAGTTGTGCAGGGGGACACTGGACATAGCAGGTCCAGGGGGTGTTGGGAGAGGGAGCTGTGTGGTGCTGCATGGGCCCGCCCACAACAGGAAGGGGCACGCTGGCAGCACAGGGCCAGAAGACCAATGTGTGTCTGGCCATCCCATGCATGCCCCATTGACCCTGGCTGTCCCCCCCACCCGCTGCTCGCCTCCTTACCTGAGGGCTGGTGCAGGGGGAGGAGGTGCAGGGTCGGGGTCTGGGTGGCACTTACCTGGGGCAGCTCCCAGAAGCGGCTGGCAGGTCCATCTGGCATCTAGGGTTGGGGCGGCTGGGGAGTCTCCGCGGACTGTGCCCACCACATGCACTGGATCAGCAGCTCCCATTGGCTGGGAACTGCAGCCAATGAGAGCTGCAGGGCAGGGCCTGTGAGCATGAGCAGTGCACACAGCCCCCTGGTTGCCCCAACCCTAGGAGCCAGAGGGACCTGCCAGGTTTGGGGGCGGGGTCCCGGCAGCACTTACCTTGGATGGCTCCCAGGAAGTGGCGGGCAAGTCCCTCTGGCTCCTAGGGTCAGAGGCAGCCAGGGGGGTCTGTGCGCTGCTCGCGCCTATAGGCCCTGCCCCCACAGCTCCCATTGTGGAGCTGGTGTTCATGGTGGGCACAGCTCACGGAGACCCCCCTGGCTGCCTCTCAGCCTAGGGGCCGCAGGGTCCTGCTGGTTGCTTCCCCACCAGCTAGTGTGACCAATCCAGCCCCGTAACAAATATTGGGACAAATGACTCCCGACCGTACATCGGTCAGGATGTGGGACAAACAGCTAAATATCGTGACAGTCCCAATTTTATCGGGACCCGTGGTCACCCTAGCGAGAGAACTAATGCCTATATATATAGTAAGCATTAGAACATATTAAAAAAAATCAGACAACTTATTCAACGATGCTCTTGATGAATTTATAATATAAACATATTTTAATTTAAAAAATAGTTGTGCATTCATATAGTTATATTAAATTAAAATATGATCTTATTATAAATAAATGAATAGCCTCCTTGATTAAGTCATCTGACTCTTTGAATATATTTTAGTGCCTACTATAGATTTAGGCATTAGTCTTCTCGCTGATTATACCTTCACCCATTTGACTTTTGAACTGTTCCTACCATATTGGTCTGAGTTGAAATGCAAGCTTTTGAGGGAAAGGACCTTGCTTTTTCTTAGTGGTGGCCTCAAGGCTATGTGATTTAGACAGCTGGCCCTGCTCATTCTGGGACCCATGCATACATACCTTCTAAACAGGTAGTGGTTGTAAGAGGCTTGCCACAGTGTGAGGGATGTCACAGGCAGGAAGCATCTGGTGGGGTTATTATTACTCTGCAGAGGGGAACCTAGATGGGCCTTGCATATGATGTTTTGACTAGAGCCCTAAAAATGCTCTAACTATCTAAGATACTTATATGGCCCCCATCAGTGTAGCATCTGAGCACCTCACAGTCTTTAAGGTATTTATCCTTTTATCAGCCTGGGAGGTTAGGGAATTGCTATTATCTCCATTTTACACATAGGAAACTGAGACAGTATATGTAGTATATGCATGAGGGTAAGGGGGGGGGGAAATGAATGAATGTTAATGTGTGTAGGTCTATCAAACTTTGTGTGCATTTTGCAAAGAACTGCTTTTTTCACAGGCTTTTGTGGAGGGAGTTTAGCTGAGGGTTCATTACATATGCTATGTGTGCGGGGGTAGGGGGGGAAGATTCTGATTATATTTGCTGGTGCATATTTATGTGTTTTTTTGAATGGGATGTATAGTCCACTTTTGGATATTATAATTTGTATTGTGAATGTTAATTCATGTAATTGGTGCCCAGAACATGGGAAGTGAACCTACTGAGAATTTTCTATACTGTAGTGTGTGTGTGTGTTTGTGTGTGTGTACACACTCAAACACTGCATATATATATCTATTTAACAAAAAATCTAAAATTATGAATTGTTCTTGCAGGAGACAAAGCAGCAGCTACTGCAATACATTCTAACCATTAAACAGAAGCCCAGCTGTCATGACGGTTTTGTGAGCCCTGTCTGAGATCAGGGTCCCACATGGACATCTGCAGCTTCAAAGAATCCCAATGACCTAGATTCAGTTGTAGATTACTGTCTGGTCTGGCCTTTGCTGCTATCACTGCACTAGGAGCCTGATTTCAGTTACACAGGCTGACTTGCTCACTGCTCTGACCCATTTTCCCATGGCAACCTGGTTTGCTGTACCAGGAGCTAGAAAAATACACAGTTGACTTTTTAAGGATTCCAAGATTAAGTTTACTCTTTGCCTTTTTTTAAAAAAAATGTACTTAGCAGATATGCAGAAGAAGAGCTGACACTTTGCAACAGCATTGGAAGCCAGGGAGAGATTTAGGCCAGGTATTATTTACTTACTTACTAAATCACTGCATGTCTGGATGAGGTTTTTATTTTCTTATCTCTTTGCAAAAATAGCCAATTGGCTTTCCTTCCCCCCAACCACCTCATCCCTGTTTCATCCCCCCAACCCATCGCCTTATAATAAATGTATTTTACATTGTACTAAGTCTTGATTTTTTGGTCACACATGAATATATGCATTCACACTGAGGAATAAAGTTGACCCTGCCTTGACACATTAGCTGCTGTCTGTAGGTCTGTGTGTGTGTTAGGAACAGGAGGAAATATTTCAGAGCTAGTTCCTCTCAATCACAGGTTTAGCTTCTGCATTTTGTACATAAATTTGATTGGAGAGAAAAGAAAAGTGTGTCCCTAAAAGGAAGAAGAATGAAAAAGTCTGACAATAGAAGTTAGGAAAATCAGATGGTGACTATTTTTCAAGCAACCAACTTCTCATTTATTTTCTTTCTTTTCCTTATTTGAAGAATGGGCCTAGGGCTGCTAGGTTGTCCTATACATTTATTATGCATTTTTATCTTAACTATTTACAAAACATAAGAAATTACAGGATATCTTTTGGGGGCGAAGGGAAAGAAGATAGAGGTAGTGTGAGAGAAATGATCTAATCTCTCTATGCTGCATTTCCCATCCCCTGAGATGCTATCTTTGCCAGCAGGTTAAATTTAAGTCAATGGAAGCTGCAGACACTCAGCACTTTACAGGAGCAGGTAGGGTGACCAGATATCCCGATTTTATAGGGACAGTCCCAATATTTGGGGCTTTTTCTTATATAGGCTCCTATTACCTCCCACCCCTGTCCCGATTTTTCACACTTGTTGTCTGGTCACCCTAGGAGCAGGACTCAGGTGAGAGTGGGAGAAACCCCAGGTGGATTTAGTTTTGCAAAACTTTGTTCGTTGGGATTAGTTTTGCAAATTCAAACTCAGTTTAAATTCAGGTTCCAGTTATTCATACCTCACAGTGTTGGTTTTTGTTTTGTTTTGTTTTGTTTGTTTGAGGGTGCTAGTGAAAGGATACCTCTGGGTAATTAGTTTTGTTTGGTCCTAGTACCATTGTAGACAGGTAAAACTGGAAAATGGTGGGAAGTCAAGCTCGTTTTTAGTTCTGTAAAACCTCAGTGACTGGCTCTAAGTTTGAAAAATCAAAGCCAGAATTGAATTACATTCAGGTTCCCCAAAATACAGGTGTATAAATGTTTTTGATTTGTTTTGAGTTTTACAAAATACATCTCCCAGAGTTCTCTGTGCACATGAACTGCCACCAGCCCCCAAATATTTAACCAGGTGGGATGTTAGGCTGAATATCTCCCCATTCAGGATAGAACACAAGGAGAGAGCATCTTTTTCAGGGATGTTAGAGGCCAAACTTTATAGGGGTTTATAGGTGAAGACCAGCACCTAGAGTTGCATCTGGAAACAATATGGAAGCCAGAGCAGACTGTGGAGCACAGGTGTGTACCTCCTTGTGAGAAACACAGCCAAGTGGTTAGAAAGCAGCTTTCTACATTAACTGAGTTTTCAAGAGGTCTCCAGGTGTAACCCTAAGTAAATCACGCTGCAGTAATCCAATCTGGAGAGGTAAAAAAAGCCAAGAATGAATGTGGCAAGATCTAAATCCAAAGAATTGTAGTCTCCTTGCCAAAAAGAGAGAGAAAATTTTTTCTGTTAGCTTCTACTACTATTTATAATAATTAATGGAGATATCCCATCTCCTAGAACTGGAAGGGACCTTGCAAGGTCATTGAGTCCAGCCCCCTGCCTTCACTAGCAGGACCAAGTACTGATTTTGCCCCAGATCCCCAAGTGGCCCCCTCAAGGATTAAACTCACAACCCTGGGTTTAGCAGGCCAATGCTCAAACCACTGAGCTATCCCTCCCCCCCAGTCATCTTAATCATCTTAAAAAAAAAAAAAGGCAGCAAGGGATCCTAGACTATGATCTTTACTGAACAAAACTCTGCGTTAAAGAAGGAAATATTAACTTCAGTGACTCATCTCAACTTCTGGATGTTTCCTCTATTCTAATAACATCACTTCAGCCTGTTTGGATTGAACTTCAGCCAGCTATCTCTCATCCAGACCCAGGATTAGTTAGACACTGGGAAAGGTAAAGGGCTGCATAGTTCAGAGAAAATGACGAAGAGACACACAGCTGAGTGTCATGACTTTACTGATGGTAGTGTGTCACACTGTCTGGGGTGGCTCACAACTGTGAGTGCCTTTCTCAGTGCAGACTGTCAGAGAACAGGGCAGATTCCCCAAGCTGGTGGTGTGTTCTATAGGTAGATTTGATCAAACCAGTAACAAATGTGAACTCCGGGATCACTATACCAGTTTTACCATGGAGTCACAGACAGTCCCCTTAGATTTCCCAGTCTGTCTTACCACCCAGACAATCTGGACTTTGTGATAAAAGGTTATTTAAACCAAAAATCACACCACGTTAGGTTTCTCCCAGTCCCAAGAGACTAGCCACTTACCCCAGATAAATTGTACCCTAGTTCTTACATGAAAGACCATGCTGGCAGCCAATTCTATAGTAAACTAATTATAGATGTATTAGGTATGAAAAAGAAATGAGAGTTATTGAGAGGTTAAAGCAGGTAAAATATATTAACCGATAAGTAAGTCATAGTTTGTAATTCCAAATGGTGGCAGTGATGTAATGAACTGCCAGCTTCCAAAAAGTCTTTCAGGGTAACATAGATTGTCTTTGGCAATCTCAGGTTTGCATCTGGTACCTTCCCTGTAAGAGTCCAAACAGTCGAAGGTAAAGGATCTTTCCATGAATCCAAATTTATAGTTTCTTCACACAGAAAGCAAGTTGACAGTGTCTCTACCCATCTGGGCTTTTCCTTTGATGACAGTGAGTGAGGAACGCACTCACTCTTTTGACTTTAGACCCTCCTACTTAATAGTCACTTGCTTTAAATTTAGCATTTTCTGTTAAAGTCCTTAAGTACTTCATTAGTATTTCACAAGATTTCTTTGATGGATTATTCAGTTACAGGAGTATACACAATGTAAATGTTTGCCATTACATTATAACAGGAACAAATGAGTGACAACAATACAAGTAACATTCCACTAGTTTTCATGAAGTTTAAACATCTGAATACACTGTTACATTTACACTCATTTTGATCTATACTAATACACACGTGAATTGGCCTGGGGCCCTGATCTGACCTGGGCTGTCAGCATCACACAGCGTAATGCAAACTGCTTCATTGTCTTCCCTGCTGACCTCACATACATACTGAACAGCAAGGAAGAAAGAATAGAAAATTGCAGCATCCCCCCTGAGAAAACCTATCAGACACAAGAACTTTGGAATCTTTCAGAGAGAAAAGATAGCTCACCTCTATGTGTAACTTTATTTTCCCAAGGTCGGGTTTGAGTGTCATTGAGCAAGACAACTTATCAGGCTTCCTGTAGCACTACAAGCAAAATGTTACTATGCGTAGGAAAAGGCATTATCTTTGATAACTTTTACTGACTTATTTCTTTCAGGTCCTTTGCTGTCTCTAGTTTAATAGGATTCACTATCCAGACAAACACTATCTTGTGTCTGGAATCACCCTAGCGAATTGACCAATACTTTAGTGCTGCCTGCGGTCAGACTCTTACAGACGGACATTACCAGCCCACCTCTGAAAGAGATGACAAGCTACCAAAGCTACAATTTGCACAGGTCTTTGTCTGCTATAGTGATTATTTTAATGGAAGAAAGTTAATGTAACACTGAGTAGAATTTTTGTGGGACATCATCATGAAGGCCTTAATCATCAGGATGTCCCTGTGTGCCTGTGATGGGGTGTCCACCCCACACAAGGCAAAGCAGATTGTTAGGACAATTAACCTGATGGGCTGCACCTCTGGGAGAGTCAGGGCCTCTGCACCTGTGGGAGAGTCAGGGCCTCAGAGGCTAATTGATGACAAAGGCCTGCTGTGCAGGGACATGCTGAGCTTGTAAAAAGACTGCAGGCTGAGAAGAGCAGGGGGCTGTAGGGAAGTAGCTGGTAGTCACTCCCTCAGAGAAGGGGCTACAGAGTCTGGCAAGAAGTCAAAGAGAGAGGTAGCCTATAGTTACCCATGTGAGGAGGGAAATTAGGCCGGTAAAACCCACATAGGGAGGTAGAGGATAGGGCAAGGAAGTAAGAAGGAGTCCAGGGAAATAGTGACAAGGCCTGGGTGTAAGCAGACCATAGTTACTAGACATAGAGTCACTGGAATGCAACCTGGAGTAGTGGGCAGGCTTGGATTCCTTCACCTGCCACTGTCACAGGACCTAGCTTTGGACTGGAAGACGGTCTGAAATGGCATGTGGACAGTAGATCCAGTGGGACTTTGATATCCCAGAAGGGGAAAACTATAAAGAGCTGGCCGGAGGGCCAAGCCATGAAGAGAGCACTGAGAGTCCTGTAGAGTGAGGAGGGATGAGGTGTTTTGGAAAGGGGTATGTGACTTGAAAGCTAATCCTCAGACCCCGCCACAGTGAGAGGTGCAACAGTGAGTGGACCCTATGACTGTGCCTCATAAAAATATTGTAAACAGCCATCTTTCTTTTTTTCTGTCCTTTATCAGGTAATAATGCTTATTTCCCTTGTCAGAACAATATTTTTGCTTATTAACTACGATCAGTTCATAGGAAAGATTTCAGAAGCCAAGTGATGCAAAAGGCTTTGGAAAGATGGCTTTTTCACTTAAAGGGTCATATATTGGGACCCAAACCAGCAACTCTGGCAATATAAAACAGCCTGAAAGCTGGCACAGCCAACCCCTGAGTGGAAAACCTCAGGTGGCATAGAGCTTCTCTGGAATTCAAGGAAGTGTGGTGATGTACATGGGAGATACAGGATGTTGATGCTGGTGTCATTATCAGAAACCAGGGACAGCATAATAAGATCAGACTAAAAAAAATGTGCTCTCAGACCTTTCTCTGCAGACTGAAATCAGTCCTTATTATGACTTGCTGTTCATTTTACCATTAGGGCTAAATCGTAAACCAGGGATGCTAATTTACAGTCAACCTTCACCCATTGCAGACCCCCAGTGCAGTCTGCTTTCTTCAGTGCATGTCACCTTTGGTCCCTACCAGTCCTTTAACTAAACCTACTGCTGCCAATTGATCATCAGAAGCTGGTGAAGC